GTAGCTCATAAAAATGGGAGGCAAACAAAAGTCAACAAGGGCAACAAAAAAAAAAAAAAAAAAAAAAAAAAAAAAAAGGAAAAAAAAAAAAAAAAAAAAAAAAAAAAAAAACAACACCCAACAACAGGAACCTCAAAGACATAGAATGAACTTTGTATCTCCAATATGAATTTCAGTTCTTGCACCTAAAGGGGGTTTCTGTTCAACTTTTATACATGGCTTTTTCCAGTCAGTTGTGAAACTTGTTTATATCCTGAACTGATATGTGCCCCTTTAAGCTGGAAAATCCTGCTCCTCTTTAACAGTACTTCAGGGATAAACAGAGTATGATTAGAAAAGCCCTTTATGTCCTGGCAAGCATGGTACCACAAACAAGTTTTGCCTGCTGAGATTCTCTTCCTTCTGTAATTCTGCCTAGTTTACCCTCTGTTACTTTCAGTATTGCAGTTTTCATTTCAGTTCCAGTTCACTCCAGGAACCCTGTGGCTACTGCATATTTAGCAGCTCTTCCAGTTCAATATCATTCTTCTCATTAGTGCTCCAAGTTTACTCTCATGATACCCAGATTACATCCAGGAAAACATAGTGTCACACTGTCAGCACAATCTGTAACATTTCTCATGTTTCGTGTGCCAAATCTCTCGTTAGTACTGGCATTACATTTTTAATATCTTTGTCTGGCAAAACATGACCTGGCACCAATTCAAGATTAGGATTTGCTGGCTTTGAGTTTCAGGTACTGCCGTTATTCTACCTTCCAGGAGAATGTCTGTGCATCCTATGATGAACTCATCACTTAGGAAATTCCTGCTGTGATAATAGAGCAGTATTTCTAGCTCTTTCAAACAGCTCGGTGCTGATAATATGCTAGATTTTTCTCAGTCTTTTTGAGGATAGAACAGAGAAAGACAAGATATAATGGTAGTTCTTAATCTGCAGGGAAATTTTATGAAAGGGAGAAGAAAGGCAATAAGTTTTTATTTCTGACTGAAAAAATGTTCTATGCCAAAAAATAAGAGTAGTTTCTGTATTCGTAGGCAAAAGAAATACTTAAACTAGTGGAGGAGCAATTACATTTAAATTCAAGTACTGCCATATCACCTTACGTCTTTCAACCAAGACTTATTTTCTAAATCAATCATTTCAATAACCAGGCAGGAAGAACCATTAATTACTCAATTTACCTCAACATTTATTAATAAAATAGATGTTTTGACCATAGTTGTCATGGACAAAAGGGATGGGATTATGGGAAAAACAGGTTTAAAAATGCAAAGGAGAATGTGTTTCTATCTGCTGCATTTGACTCAGTCACCTGACTTCACTTACAGGAGAGTTATTTATATCATTGTGAGATGCCACTGCAACAACAAATATGTTTTTATTGTTCTTTTTATGTTTAGTAAAATGGATAGAAAACATTATCAGCAAAATCAGTAGGCAAAAAGGATTGTGACTCCACATAAAATCCTAAAAAGGAGACTACAACCTAACATTGTCTGATGAGAAAACATTTTCCAGGTCTTTCAATAAATAATCTCCTGATTTGCTGCCTTCTAGAGGAAAGAAGAATAATTAAAGATGCTGAAGGCAGGAAATTTTTGAATCGGATTTTGCATGTTGATTACATGAAATGTTGAGCAGAAATTGTTTTCTGTGAGTCTGGCAACTCTCAGTCGAGGTTTTTGTGTCTGGCAGGGCTGTGCCTCAGCAAGAGCCCTTGAATGCTTGAAATTATCTGAACACTTTCAAGAGTAGACTTAAAATGCATTGTTTTCCTCATCCTACAAAGTCTTCAGTTGCTTTCTTGAACAATAGTATGTGCTTTTGACAACAATTTAGATTTACATTCATTAACTTTGGAGAACTTGGCAAAATTGACACATTTTACCATTGATTTCCTGTGTTTGTTTTGGTGGAGTTTATTTATGATAGCTTTAAATACTGCATATTATCTTCAATTCTGAAGTTTTACAATCAATGGAATTATCTGGTACCATCAACTTCAGCATGATAAGGACTCTTTCTAGTATTCCACACCTGAGCAGCCTTTTATATAATTTAAAATGCATGCACCAGCTAAACCTATAGTTTGGAAAATATAATCCAATGAGCTTTTGTTCTTACTCCCAAATATGTAGTCCCTCAATATTCTTCCTCCAGCCTCCTCTCATGGATGTAAGGAATGGTACATTCCGTAGCATGAGTGTGTCCTTTTGTGTTGTGTAAAAATTTACATTTTCATCCTATTGATTCATTTTTGAAAGCTCTTTAAGATGTTTTATAGTCATTTTTCTGTAAAAGATGTGGCTAGCACAAAATCTCTAATGTTTTGGAAAACAGTGGCCTGACCAGGTGCATTTTAGATTGAATATGTGTATAACTTTCTCATTCATTAATAAAAGGATTATCCATAAAAGATGGGAGAGTCAGAAGTGAGATATGAGGTCAAGGATTATACTAAACAAATTCAGTTAACAATTCTCTACTGTAATTTACCAGAGCTGTGTTATTTATGGGCCATTTTGGTAATCATGTCCAATAGCAAAACAGACTGCTTCATAATGTGATAAACTGACTTTTTTTTGCTGTCTCTTTTGTCTGAAGAACACTAATTCCAGGAAAATTCCTAATGTTACCTCCTCCCTCTCAGCAGTCTATCCACTGTCTGCTCATCTGGAGATAGGGAGAAACTGAAAGGATTTTATAGACAGATCTTGGGGTTTCTCAGAAAATGCAGCTGAACATGAAGTAAGGGAATTATGCACACTGTTGTTCATTATATATAGTGTGTATATAATGACAGACATTACTGTTCACACTGGTAAATAAGAACTATGACTTTAAATTATATAAAGGAGGTGTGTGACCAAGTACAGACTCCAAGGCTGTCCCTGTGCCAGAGGCACAAAGGCTCACTTCTTAATAAGCCTGTTTTGAAAGTAGTTCAAATGCTTCAGTCCCCTACTTAAATTCACAGGATGACTTCTATACCTTTTTATGGGGTTTCTCAAACAGAATAATTTTCTCCCTCTGGAAAAACACAGTGGCTAAAAATTATGAAATATATACATTTAGGAAAATGGAAAGTTGAGAGGTGATTCTATCTTTTTTTCTTTAAAATTTTGTAAACTTGTGCTGCTTCTTCTTTATTCACATCACCTAGCACTCATCACTTTCTACATTTTATCTTGTCTCATCTTAGGTTTTAAAAATATCAGTCATTTTTTATATTAATGCTAGAATACGCTCTTAAAATATTCTTAAGTAGGTCTTAATGCAGTCTTAACTGAGTGTTGAAATAAACCATGTTTGTGTATAGATGTTGATGCCTTGGAAGAGGTATGTTTCTGAAAATCAGTTTATGTGGTTCATATATGTTATATTATTTATTATTAGTTTGGATTAGTTTTTTAAGTATGTGTTAAGTGTGCTTAGAGATACACTGATATTTTTAGCAAGTGAGAGTGATTAATGCTTGGACTACAGAAAGAATCAAGTGTGAAGAGAAGAGCTGAGGGTGACAAGGGAGGTTTTTCAGCACATTGTGGTCAGTGGCTGTAT